CAGCAGTTCTCAACCTGTGAGTCGCGACCCCTTTGGGGGTCAAATAACCCTTTCACAGGGGTCGACCCGATTCATTCATAACAGTAGCAAAATTACAGTTAGTAAGTAGCAACAAAAATCATTTTATGGTTGGGGGTCACCACAACATGAGGAGCCGGATTAAAGGGTCACGGCATCAGGGTTGAGAACCACTGGTCTACAGAGACACCAAGGTCAATTGGCCTAACATAGTCCACAAAGGTCATGTTCTACATCTTACTTTGGTGAGTAGGGATGGGGTCTTCAAGCCCACGAAGGGCTATTTGTAACAACTGGTCTCTCCCAACAGAGGGAAGAACGGTGATGAAAATCAGAGACATGAAAACAGTAAATCCAATGGACTCATGGACCACCCCACGTCCTGTTATTTGGGAGCATAACGAGATGGTGCCTGGCTACCCCTTCCTACTGCCCTGCCAGCGACCACATTAGAGGGTCCTGGGAGGAGTGGATAAAAAGTGTGAAAGAACTCAAAGTCATAAAAAACGACCAGGCTACCAATCTGACAGAGACCAGTCGAACCTCCAAGGTTATAGCCCTTAGTGACCCATCGGCCCTGAAACAAAAGTCACCCCACTGGGCTCAATTTTCAGACACATAATGGCCAGGTCTATCTAAGCACAATAACACTAGGGAGGTACACACGTCTTAGAATCATCAACCAAAAGAACAGCATTTGCCGGAGGAGAGTTCAGAGGGGTTAGGGAAAAAAGAGAGGAAATCGGAAACCCAGGGAGGAAGTATGAAAGCTGCACATCACGCTCCCGCGGAAAGGAAGGCAACCAATGAGATGAAACAAAAGGAGTATGAATCGTTGAATGGAAATGGATGCTCTGCACTAAAAACGGCACCCGATTCACCACCAAGAAGGTTTTCTCGTTAGACCATAGAGTGTATAACACCCCTTTATGGCTGAAATGAAACACAACCCACCCTGCTTAAACAAACAGAAAAGAAAGGGGTTGGTGACCAGGATCTGCTGTGAGGTGCCATCAAGTCAGTGCTGACCCACAGCGACCTTACGCACAACTGCATGAAGGATGCCCAGTCCTGTGCCATCCGCACAATCGTCCCTGTGCCTGAGGATGGAAAAGCCCAGACTACAGAGCGCCCGCTGTGTCCCCACCCACCCGCCCCCTACGCCAGTATCTGTCCCCACAACCTTATCAAAAGACAGTACGAATTTTTCCTAGAGACCCAGAGAATCTGCACATTTGAGATTACCTTTCAGTGTCAACCGTTCATATGTAATTCTTTTTTTTCCATACGTAATTCTTGTCAAAAAAGAAAGTGGGGTGCCTTTGTTCTTTCGATTTAAAATACAAACAAAACCCATGACGTCAAGTTTCACTTGCAGTACATGTAGGTTTTCCTGACACTGTGGGCCCTAAGGCGTCAACAGGACCTTGACTCCTACAGGTGAGAAGGATATGAGCTAATACATATAACGGGGGGAGGCTGAATTCAAGGGTGGGCTTTAGGACATACCTGAACTGACACAGGTCAGACCTCTACCACCTACTGGGCAGGTGATCTCAGACAAGCTACTTCCCCTGTGAAACCTCAGAACTTCTCATTGGCACACCAGGACAATCCTGGAACCCCCTAAATAAGAAGTTGCAAAGGTACCCTCAGTGAATGTGCCATCCAATGAGATGTGGGGTCCATGACCAACATGCCCCATGCATTCAAAGAGACAGATGTACAACCATTGTGGAAAGCGATGTGGCACTACCTCAAACAACTGGGGTTGGAAATTCCATAGGAACCAGCAATCCCTCCGCTGGGCATATGCCCTAAAGAAGTAAGAGCCCCAACAGGAGCAGACAGGTGTCCTCCCATGTTCCCGGCAGCACGCGCACCACAATGGCAAGAAGCTGGGAACCATACAAGTGTCCATCCGTAGACGCATGGATAAAGGCAGGTTGGTGCATGCACACAGCGGAACGCGACGCATCACTAACAAACAATGATGAAACCACAAAGCACCTCATGACATGGATGGACCTGGAGACCATGATGCTGAGTGACGTTAGTCAACCACAAAAGGACAAATATTGTAGGAGACCACTCCTATCAGGAGGAAAAAATGTGCATACATCCAAAACACATGACAGAGATGTGCTTACGGCCAAAGGGAACAAGTTATGGAGCTTCCCAAAGGGGGGTGACAAGGGTGGGAAGATAAAGCAACAGGCTTGGAGACTCAAAAGTACCGACTTAGGTGAAAGGGAGGATCGAGGCCCACAAGAGGAAGAACAAAAGTCAGAGAAAGGAAGGTGGAAGAGGATATCGGGGTGGGGGCAGACATTGGGGGAAGTAGCTGATGAGAGAGAGATCTGACCTGCAGAATGCAGAGTTGATGGTCTGAAATGTAAACCCCCAACCTAATTCACTATTAAAAAAACATTTAGGAAAAAAGACAATGATAGAGGGTGGCAAGGCTTAGTGAAGTGCTTACAGACCAGACAGAAGGGCTGTCCTAAGACTGGCAATGCAAGAAAGATATCCTTTGGACAGGGGGATCTTTTTGCTCTGAGGGATTACACACTCAACACAATGTGATGTGAGACAGGTGCTGTATCTGCCCTCTTCCGATGGGGGGACAGAGGTGCATCTGGTCACCACATGAGGAGAGCACATTAGAAACACAGGTCAAAAAAAAAAAAGAAACACAGGTCAGCTTTCTCCCCTGCAGCAATTAAGGATGGCCGGTCCCCATCCACCATAGAGTGGGAACCATCCAGTGGTGGGATTTAGCCAGTTCACACAGGTTCAGCAGAATGGACACCTAACTTTTTGTTGAGTTTGGCAAACTGGTTGTTAACATGGCCCTTGTAATCAGGGTGGGTGGCCGGACTGATGCCCAATGTGGAAATACAAACTCATATTCCTGACTCTTTTTTTACCCTTTCA